TGCTTAAGATGATTCTTAAGTACCCAGTGCAGTCACCAGAGTTGGTTGCTCAAGTTGATACTTAGAGTCCCCAGTAAAGGTTGCCCAGGATGATTCCTGAAATCCCCAACAGAGTGTTCGCTCAGGATGATTCTTGAAATCTCCAGAATGGTTATCGGTTCAAGATGATTCTTGAAGTCCCCAGCGGAGTTATTTGTCCAAGATGATTCTTGAAGTCCTCAGCAGAGTTGATTCATCCAGAATGATTTCGGGACCCCCGGAGCGGAGTTACTTGATAGTTCTCCAGAAGCCCCAGCGGCGATGCGTTATCCCCAGCAGGTTTCTAACGGCGAAGTTGAAACCTCCCTTGAAGACTCCATGGTTGAAGTCTGACCGTGTTAATGAAGCAGTTCTCTCAGCTAATGCGGAGTGCCTGATGGCAGAGGTTTAGATATTCCCAGTTGGCTCATGATTGACCAAGAATTCTATTCCTGACTTGCTAATGAAGTTCGGCTGATGCCCGACGAGGTCTTTGAATGCCTGATGGCATGATCAACCTGATGGTTGAAGTCCGGCTGATGCCCGACAGATGTCTTTGGATGCCTGATGGCATGATCAACCTGATGGTTGAAGTCCGGCTGATGCCCGACAGATTTCTCTGGAATGCCTGATGGCATGATCAACCTGATGGTTGAAGTCCGGCTGATGCCCGACAGTTTCTTTGAATGCCTGATGGCATGATCAACCTGATGGTTGGAGTCTGGCTGATGCCCGACAGTGTTCTTTGAGTGCCTGATGGCATGATCGACTATGTATTACCAATTACCATGTGATCAATTCTCCAGCTAGTTGTCGTGCAGCTATTATTTCAGTGTTCGAAGATTTGTTCCAGTCAGAGTACCGTGTACTTGTGCAGTTGGCAAATTTCCGGGTTTATCGGTATTCAACCGTCTCGCACCTTGATTGGCTGAGAGCCGTTCGCTCCTCACCCAGTCAGGTTCAAGCCGTTTGAATAGGGGCAGCTGTTGCACCCCAAAATTTGACCAACATTTATTTACCAAGCTTGTGTTCATTTTATTCATCATCTGCATCTCATTGATAGGTGGGCAGTAGATCAAGAGGTATGGTTACCCAACAAGAGTTATATGAGACTTTGAAGCTAGCCAAGAAAGTTATTCAAGTGTTCAAAGGTTGATATCTTTGTCAGAAAACTCAAGAGATCCTCAGAGAGATTGGTTGAAACCAAGGTTGTGTGCCTCATAACTGGAGAGTTGTGGGAGCCCCTCAGATGATTCTGAGACTATGAGGATGAACTTGAAGCTTTGAGAAAGCTTATGAGAGGTCTTGAAAGCCATCATGAAGCCTAAATAGGTCATTGTACAAGAATTCAGAAGATTCAGCCATGAGTGGTGGAATTAGGGTTTGACTGGGTCAACCCTAGGTCAACTGGTGATTGGGAGAGGGTTGAGACCTAATCCAAGAGCCATGTGATCATGGAATGATGCATTGAGATGCTATAAGGATGATTCCTAGACCAACTCATCATGATTGAGGAGTTTGAGAAGTTTCAAGCTAGGGTTTCTAAGGCTTGATAGTGTAAAATCCCCTAGTTTGATCCCTATCTTCAAGGCAGTTTAGCTCAAGATGTGATTGTCATCTCATCTTCCCCATAACATGAATGTTGTAGAGCTTGTTCTTAGCTTTAATTTGAGTACTATAAGTCCTTGATAGGATTTGTAGAGCTCAAGTTATGACTTTGACAAACTACAGGTCATCTGAGGTATGTGAATCTGGGACCTTGAAAGTCACCCAACTTGCATCCAACTCTTGGTAGGATGATTCCTATGAACTCTTGGTCAACATGACTGTTGTAGAGCATCTTCTTAGATTTCTAGAGAATACTAGAAGTCCTTGATAGGATTTGTAGAACTCAAGTTATGGCTTTGACAAGTCAAGGGAATTTTGGTCATTTGGAGGTTATAGGTCATTTCAAGCATAAAGCCATATCTCCTATTTCCAAGCTTCAAATGGAAAAATCTTCAACATCAAACTTTCTTATAATGATGTTTTAAGTCTAGTAGGGAGGTCATGAGATGTTGAAAAGGCTTGTATCAAAAAGTGATAAAAATGACCTAAAATGGAGGCATAAGTTAAATAAGTTGAAATTGGAAATTGGAAATCCCAAGTTACACATCCAAACCATGTCATATAATAGGTCATTTTGACTCTAAAAGACATTCTAAAAACAATGGTTCAGCCACAATTTTGATTTGAGGCTTAGATCATAGGGATGTTTTGGAAATGGCTTGCTTGCATCTTAAGGCACAAAAGCAAAACTTAAGAAAACTCAATGTACAAGTTAGTTAAGGGTTTCAACACATCATACATCTCATGTGGGGAGAATTTCAAGTCAGAATTGGTGGTTAAAAGGACTATGGCATGATATGATACATGATATTAGTTTGAAGTTTTTCATGCCTTTAGTCATGATTGCATTTTGTCACCACAAAGTATATTCATTTCAGAAATTTTAAGATGAGCGAAAGAAGGATATGATGGGTGATACGTTGCATCTGGTTTAGTGGATCTGGAATTCATACTTTCCAGTCTATCCTGGGAGTTTGTCATCATCGAAACCTGCATTTACCAATGTCTTGCAGACTTGTGTGATATGTGGCGATTTGCCTCCACACTTGGTTCCGTGGTACTCAAAACTCTACAAACAACTTGTGTTCACGCATGAATTGATATATTGGAATGACAATAATTTGGTTTATACATCCGGATGTTAAAATACACCAATGTCTTGTTCATGACATGCAATGAATCTCTTGCAAACATGGGTTAAAACAAACATGACTTTAAATTTACGAGCTAAATCTAAGTTTGTCACAAACTGATTTAGAATCCAAACATAACTTGACACTTGCAATCAATTCGAATAAAGCTTGAGGCAAAATTGACCATGTCTAGAAGCAACATGTGAAGTATCTTTGAACAACTTGAATTAAGTGCAAATCATAACAAGCAACTTGTAGTGAGGCTTAAACAACCTTTAGAGAAGCTTGTAATCAAGTTGAAATAGAGCTTAAATTTTCTAAAAACCAACAATTATGTTACGAGATAGATCCAATCATGTATTTGACGCCATTGTCCATATCATATCTGCCTGATCGTGAAAACGAGGACACACATGAGTTTGGGTATAAGGGTTGGAGGCACGCTCTTCCCACATAAATTGCTAGGGATTATAACCACAATGAGTACATATAAAGTCTTTATAAACGAAGTCTTAGAGAATCATGGCCAAAAGTCGTGAAACAGTCAAACATCCATTAAATACCGAAGTAGGACAAACTTGGGGTATGACAGATGCCCCTATCTAATTGCCTTAAACCTGAGCGAATGAACTGCCGCAGGGCGTTCATTTTAAGGTGGAAGTCAATTAGATACAAGAAGACCCCGAAATTTGTCCGGTAGAGGAGTGAAAAGTACCATGAATGGGTTAATAGGATGAACAAGATAACCTGATCTGTCTCCATTTTCTCACAACTAATCAATATGCAAATGTTGTTGTCTTGTCTATATGCATTGTTATATAGTGAATATTAGGAGTGTGAAAAAATATGGTTAATTAAATTATATTAATTTGAATGACATTTTATCATAAAAAATACTAAACCATTCATTAATTAAATTATTTAACTTAAATAATTTTAATTCAGTTTAAAATCGACTTAGAAACAATTTCTTTCTATAAATTATTTTATTATACAAAAATTTCCTTATAAAAACAAGAAGGAAAACAATTGAGCATGAAAAACAAAAATATCTTTATGAATTTTTCTTTGATAATTAAAAAAAATGAATTTCTTTCTAAAAATAGAAAACATTATTTTTCCTAGAAAAATATTTTCTTTCCCAATAAAAAACATGATAAATTTATTTTTTGTTCCGAAAAAATAAAAAACATAACAATTTTTTTTATTCAAAAAAATAAAAAAGAAAAAAATTTTCTAATTTCTTTTTATTCTGAAAATAAAAAATAAAGCATACTTGTTTTTGGAAAAAAAAATTATTCCAAAAATATTTTTATATTGAAAAAAAATCTGAAAATAAAAAAATTTTATATATACTTTTGTCGAAAATAAATAAAAAATTGTAATTTTTTTCTGAAATTTAAAAATATATTTTACTTTCAAAAATAAAAATAAAAATTTTTCTTCAAAAGTCAAAAAAATTCAAAATTTTATATTAATATCCATATCTATAAATTTTTGAAAAAAAGGTCATTAGAGTTTGGATCAGTTGGATGTCATAATTTTGTCCCGCCCAAAAATAAGGATAATATTACACGAATAGAGGGAATAAGGATAATATTATCCTTATTTTAATATTACACGAGTAGAGTGTAGATTTTTTTAATAAGAATAATATTATTCATTTATAATAAATTTGTATTAAAATAATGATTTAAAACTTAATTTTATATTTTAATTAAGTTTCTACACAATTTTTAAGATAATATTTTTTAATTTAATTCTTAACTTATATTTTAAAGACACAAATTAGTATTACTTTTTCAATAAATTAAATTAATACAATATTAATTTAATTTATTAATATCAGATATTGATACTAGCATAAAATGGTCCTTCTGTTTTTTTTAAAGAAAATTAAAGTAAATTTTCTTAGTGGCTATATTTTTATAAATCTACATCGAAAGATAATGGCAACCAGCATCAATTCTTTTATTTTAGTTTTTGCATTAATGTGAATGGCTTCATCAATGGTTGTTCGCTTTGTTTATACGTGTGGAATTGTTTTTAACATAGTAAATGCATTGTTTTTAGCATAGTAAATGCAAAAGCCTTTAAGTTGATGTTGGAAGTTATGGTCCTCATTTAAAACCGCCAAGTTTTTATAAACTTAGGGTTCCACTCCTTTTTAAGGAGTTGGAATATACAAAAGGTTTGTTGACAAATCATAAGGTGCAAATGAATAAGCATGAATGTTCAATTATGTCAGATGGTCAAACGGATAGAAAAGGTAGAATCTTGATTAATTTCTTGGTCAATTGTCCGGTGGGAACCATGTTTGTGATAAGTGTCGATGCTTCTAACTATGCCAAGACGGGGGATAAGCTAGCTGAGTTGTTGGACACTTTTGTCGAGAAAATGGGTGAAAAAGATGTTGTTCAATTGATTACCGACAATGAGAGTAATTATGTAGCGGCAGGTAAAATATTAACTTCGAATAGGCCAAACAAGTTTTGGACTCCATGAGCAGCCCACTGTATAGACCTTATGTTAGAAGACATAGGAAAATTCCAAAGGTTCATAAGGTTATACAAAATGGAATTAAAGTTGTCGGTTACATTTATAACCACACATTTGCTTTGAATCTAATGAAAAAGACTACTGACAATGTTTAATTGGTTAAAAAATGAGTGACAAGGTTTGCTACCTCTTTCCATACTCTACAAAGGTTGCAAGGACTAAAAAACAAGCTTAGAGAGATGTTCACTTGTGAAGATTGGGTGAGTTCCAAGTGTGCCAAAGATTCTAAAGAAAAAAGGGTAACTAGTATTATATTTATGCCATCATTTTGGAGTGATGTTGTCTACACTCTTAAAGCCATGGCGCCTCTTGCAAATGTGCTAAGAATAGTTGATAATGAAAGTAAACCCACAATGGATTACATATATGCCGCAATGAGGGTAGCGATGGAATCAATTGATAAGGCTTTCAATTCAAATTCAACCAAGTACAAAGTCGTATTTGAAATCATTGATAAAAGATGGGAGTATCAACTTCATCATCCGCTACATGCTGCAGGTTACTATCTCAATCCTGGATATTATTATGATAAACCAGAAATTGAGAATGATCCTAAATTGGTGACATGCCTCCGTAGATGCATTGAGACACTTAGTGGAAGCCATGAGGTGGAAGATAGAATTTCAGTACAATTGACAGAATACAAAGGTGCTACAGTTAGACAAATGTCGACATTAGCTCCAAATAAGATGAAAGTTCATTTTTTTACAAATATTGGTCGCATGTGAGACACTTTGTTTTGTGTATATCCTAATGTAGATGATTTTTTACTTGCAGCTTAGTGGTGGAAGTCTTATAGAGCCGAAACTCTGGATTTGCAATTATTGACGGTTAAAGTGTTGAGTTTGAGTTGTAGTGCTTTGCAATTATTGACGGTTAAAGTGTTGAGTTTGAGTTGTAGTGCTTCCGAAGGTGAGCGTAACTGGAGCATCTTTGAGCATGTAAGTATATATTTTTTACTAGGATATTAAAGTATCTTACATTCAAGTATTATTAAATTAATATTTCAAATTATTGTATTTTAGATTCATTCCAAGAAGAGAAATAAATTGAAGCATCAAAGGTTACAAGACTTGGTTTTCATTAAGTCTAACCAAGTTTTAATTGAAAGGCTTGAAATTCGGGACAAGATTGATCTTATGGTTTTTAGCAAAATTAATTATCATTCTGAATGGTTGGTGGGAGAGATGGGAGAGATAGAAGAAGACCTCTTTCATGATGATCAATGATATCCATGTTTGCTTTAATTTTCATATAATAGTTTAAATTTGAACTTAAGATGTGATGTTTTGAATCTTCTACTATGTTTTGAATCTTGATTAAGCATTGTTCTTTGACATTGGAATTTATAAATCTTATATGAATGTTGTGTTATTTGTTTAGTTTTATTTTATATATATCTATCTTAAATTCAAGTGAAACTAACCGCAATGACACTGCCTTTATTGCGTCCAATTCTAGTTACCAACTTTCCATCACTCCAGGTACCTGCACCACCCTGCCACACATAAGTCCTTGATAAATGACAGTAACAAATATCCAAAAACAACACTACTTTAAGTCAGAAGAATGATGCAACCATAAATGCAACAAAGTCTATTATACCAGATAAAATAAATCATCACTCAGAAATAAATAAAGATGAATAGTACAACCTCCCCAAAGCAGAAGTTACTTTCCAAATCTAAAATTCTCCGAACAATAAGACTACCAATATCATGCCCCCTCTTTTCAACCGGTTGACCTCTTTCTATTAGTGTGACATCTGCACCGAGCTCCGCAAGAACAAGAGCAGCAAATAGGCCAGAAGGCCCACTACCCACTACAGCAATTTTTGGCTTTTTGACATCCTGCTTTTTGTTCAACTCTTTTAAGAAGATGCTGTCCCCATTTTCCCCTTTCACTACACCTTCACTATTTTCTTTACAGTATTGTATGACACTCATCAGATTGCCAAAATCTCTTCCATCATCCACACGTTCCACAAGGCCAACTTTAGGTTGCAGCTGAGAAATATAGTCCCAAGAACGAGGCTCTAGGCTGAGGAGTTTCTGGACATCCATGTCGACAATATGCACAAATTTGGGCTCCTTTATTGATTTATAAAAACCATCAACAAAACATTATAAGTATATGCAAGTGCAACAATGACAGAAACTATACCATAATATAAAACGGGAATTCTGTTGTTACAAGCCAAAATTCAGATGAACTTTTAAAATATTGTACACATGAAAAGAGGTTTTAACTACTTCCATTTGCAACCATGTACTTTATTTTGGGTGACATGCATACCCTATAGGTCAAAACCAAATAGTTAAAAAAATAAACTAATTAACTCATAGATTTAACCTGCGACATAAGAGTCCAAAACTGCACCAAGCTAGCATTTTCTGTTTCCGATTTTTTTTTAACTTTTAATAATAATACCACAAGTGTTACATAAAAAAGGTTCATGACTACAAATGGGATGTGACAAAGGTATTTCATGTCTCCACAACTGCAACATGACTACATTCAAAGCCGGTATATTTGACTGCAAAATTGTCAAGGATCACGACAAAATCACTACTTAAAACCTTGAATATGACTATGTTAATGCTATGTATCATAGTATAATTATGCATAGTTAAAAAAAAATATTTTCAGTTCCTAGGCATAGGCCTCACTTGCCTAGCCTATGGACTGGCCCATCATTTGTATATCAAATTGGCAAAAAAAATATGACAATATACAGCAAATATCAAATATCAAAGTCTCCCCTCACAGGAAGGGACCAATTAGATTCATTAATTCTTAATTAGATTATTGAAAGTTCACTAGAGGAGGATATTGTAGATGCCGCGTGTTGAATTGTTGTAAATTATGAACTAAATAACAAACACAAATGTTTGAAGCATAAAAGAAAAATGTATCTTAAATAACTGAGAACATGACCATGCTACTGACATTTGGTGTTTCACTGTGCCAAATGCATTTGACCAACTTCTAACTTCTATTTCCAGATATTTAGAGTATCTATATACATGTTTTCTCAAGCTGATCATCATCCAAAATTGTAGTTACCACGTTCAGTAAGGTCCTCGCTTCGACTTCAATAAAAAGCATGCAAGCATCAGGTATGTATGCTATTCTACGATAATTGGGGAAAAGGCAGCAACAGGAATGATGTTGGAAAGTGTTAATTCCTGTCTCAGCGAATCTGTCTGGAGGACAGCATTGTTAGCTGCACAATATCAACAGAGATACCAGTTGGCATCAGTGCCGCTTCCATGAAAAGCTGAAGCTGACAAAAAGTGTAGAATCATAGCATTACCTCAAACGTTCTGGGGTGTAACTAGGATACAAAACCTCTTTTCTGCTATTTACTGTTTTGAGCTTATAGACATCTCAAGAAAATTGATTTCGACTAGTACTTCAGGAGACCAGCATTATGAGCCTTGCCCAGAACAGACTTAACATCTCCATGAAATAAGTTGAATTTTTTTGCCACAGCGAAACCAGCATTCATTCCATCCACCGCGGCACTAACGATACCACCAGCATAACCTGCTCCTTCACCAACTGGATATAGTCCTTTTACTGAAGTGCTTTCATAAGAGTCAATATCGCGGGGAATTTGGATTGGGGAACTGGTCCTAGTCTGGAACAAAACATTACTTAGGGAAAACTAAAGGGAATTTCAGTGGAAATGTACATATTGAGGCATTATTGATAGTAGACCAAATTGAAAAATAGATTATTTTAAGTACCTCTACACCATGAAGGAGAGCTTCGTTGCAGATAAACCCTGGTAACTGAAAAGTTTGGAAGTTCAAATTTAAAAAGGAAAAATGAGGAAATTTTTAGATCAACTTTGATGGAAAATTTTGAGACTATGATATTTGTAGGACATGGAAAGTGCAAACCTCTTTATCAAACATTACAATTGAATGCTTCAAAGCTTCGGTTATGTTTGTCGGAAATAGCTGATGAAGACGTGATGCCTTCACACCCAAGCGATAACTTGACGGCGGAACAGATGTAACTGGCACAAACTAGTTAAGCTAAGTTCATCTACAGCCAGAGCCTGAGTAGCATATAAACGGTATTATGGTAATTAATTGTCCATAATTTTACCTGACAACTTATTCTCAAGAAAGTCTGGAACTGTCTGGACAGGCACACAAAATTTTCCTCCTCCCATTAGAGCAGCTCTTCGTTCAAACTCTCTCTAAATAATAGTATTAGTATTAGACAAAACAGGCAATGTCAAATTTATAAAATTTAGGACTCTGCTATACGGTCATCAGGCATCAGGAACAAGGACAATGTTGTTCAACAAAATTTCATAAGATGCAATACTGGTCCATTTCCAAATCACTCAGGCTTATTAACAGAGTGTGAACTTATATACTCTACTGCTTAATAATTAAATAGTTAAATATATTATGGAAAAACTGAACAATGAAGTCCATAGTTAAATATATTAGGACTCTGCTATACGGTCCATTTCCAAATCACAGTTTGCTTTTAATAAATATAAAGATGAAAATGGGAATAAGGTAAAAAAAACATTTAGTGACAAATTTTAAATTCATAGCATATGAACACATCAAGCATGACAAGAATTCAAACCAACCTGAAATTCAACACCAGCAAGCGGACCATAATAATTCAAAGCTTCAAAATCATTCTTTGTAACTGATACAACGAGTGCAGCATTTGCCCACCTAGATGCTCTCCGGGAAAATGACATGCCGTTGATGCATATTTCAGATGGATTTGTACTTGTCAGAACAACCTATAAGTTCCGATCTTCCATACATCACTACCAGTTGATTACTTAGAGAAATTAAAACAAAGACTAAACCTTTTAAAGGTGACACTTTAAATCAATCAGCACAATATGTTCATGGAACCAGCACTGCAAAGAGGTTAGGTTCCAATTAATCTAATATGCAAGTAAAAGGAGAATGCTTACCTGCCCACCTGGACACATGCAAAAAGAGTAACAACTACGATTTTCCACCTTTGAATCAGATGATTCATTGAAATCGTTTTTGTCAATATAATTGGCAAGTTTGTAATCTGCTACTGGGACTTTACCACGTCCACAACAAACTTCAGATGCCAGTTCAGCATACTGCACATTTAAATTTGCATGCATCATAATCATAACAAAGAAATAAAAGTCTGAAAAACAGCTTTTTTGATAAACAGAAGAATGTCAGAAATTGAATAGGATCATATAATTCCTTATTTATTCTAACACATAAAATAGATGAAAAGGGATGTATTACAAAATAGATGTAGATGGTATCCTTAGTAGAGTTGGGTCGGACACTTAAACCTTCTTTTGAAAGGACCCTTGGTTAGGTCGCATTCCCTTAAAACCTAAGTACCATAATCTGTTCTCTAATTCTCTTCAGTCAAATGGGTTGGTGGGAGAGATAGGGTTGGTGGTCAATGGGGACCTGGTTTGAGATCTTAAGTGCAGGAGATCATTTTTTCTTAAAGAGATACATGTCTTTGAACTTTGAGGATCTTCTCTCTCTGCTTCGAGATGTCATTCTTTTTCTGAAAAGTGATAACTGGATGTGAAAGCATACTAGAGAGGGTTTTTTTTCAGTTGTCTTTGCTTACTATGTTCAGAGGGTTAGTTCTATCTCTACTTCGGCTACTCTTCCAACTGAGAACTTGACCTCCACCTTATATGAGCTAGTTGGCCTCCTTCTATGGTCTTGGTCTTCTCTTGCCAACTTTTGCAAGACAGACTCTCTTCAAGAGAGAACTTGTCTAAAAGAAGGGTGATTATTGACCCTATTCAGATTTCTTGCCCCTTGTGCCATGCGAGGCCTTGGTTGAGTCAGTTTTCCACCTTTTTATTACATGTGAGCTAGCCTTGTCTGTGTCGTATAGGATCTTTTAGTGGTTGAGATGAAGTTAGTTATTCTTAATGATCCTAAGGTTCTGTTTGAATATTTTCTTTCTTTAGGGGATACAATAAGTATAGGAGTGATTTTCTTATGTTTTGGCACGTTTTAGTCTGGTCCATTAAGAAAGTCCGTAATTATTTTATCTTTGAGGGAGTTACAAAAACAGTAAAAGAGGTGGAGGAGAAGAGTGTTTTTTTTTTGTCTGGAAATGGTTTCTTAATAGATCAGGGGTGAACTCTTGTACTTTCTCTGACCGACTTCAGAACCTTAGCCTCTGCCTCCACCAACAACGGATCGTGTGTTTGCCTTAATTCTAAGGCAGGTTGTGGCTTGTGGTTTTTGGTGCTCTTTTGATGGGTTATGATCTATTGATGATGAGACTGGTGATATGAGATCTAGTCTGTTTTTAGCGAAGTTGATTTTTAGTTGCTTGGACTTTTATCTACGAATCTCTTGTCTGGTGTCTTTGTTTGGGTTGTGTTGTTTTTTTTTATTCTTTTTGCCACTTTGTGCTTTCACTAGCTCTTTTGTACATTGGTGATTTTCACCCTTTTTTAATATATTATTTTGTCATTAATATTAATAATTATTATTATTATTATTATAATGTCATATGCCAAAAAACACATCCAAGAGCTAGCGCAAAGATGCATACTTTTTACAGATAATATAGTCCTATTTGGAGAGTCGAAGGAAAATTTAAATGAGGTTGGGGACTTGGAGACAAGCTTTAAAACGCATCGTTTTCGCTCAAGCAGAAGTAAGATGGAGTATATGTAGTATAAGTTCAACAAAAGAAGAAGTGTTTCTAACCTAGAGGTGAAAATTGGAGATCATATCATCTGTCAAGTCACACAGTTTAAATATCTTGGGTCTGTAATACAAAATGATGGAGAAATAGAAGGGGATGTATGTCATCGAATTCTACCTAGGTGGTTGAAATAGAGGAAGACTTCAAGAGTTTTATGTGACGCAAAGGTACCGCTTAAGCTGAAGGAAAAAATTTATCGGACTACAATAAAATTTGTGATGTTGTATGAGACAGAATGTTGGCCGGTTAAAAATCAACATGAGAGTAAAGTAAAGATAGCAGAAATGAGGATGTTGCGTTGAATGTAGGGGTGGAAATAGGTTAGGCCGATAAC